AACAACAGTGATAAGGCTTTTGATACACGAGCTTTGCTTAGCATTGCGTGAAATTATTCGTAGAAAAGTGCGCAATACCATACACACTTACTCGTATATTTTAATACCCAAAATAATATCAATAAATCTTATAAAAATACTTATTTCATATTTTTTTATTAAAGGCCTTCAAACCATGATGCTTCATCTCAACATCTTTAGAGAACTTATTGTAATAAAAACCCAAATCACATAGATATTATCATGCTAACCAAGCTGTGGATGACTGGGGCCTACTATCCCGGTGTAATCGATAAAACACGATATAATTTTATCTAGACTTCGTGATAATATTTATTATCGATTTTAGACTACACATGACGAACATTAGAATAATTTTTGATCATTAGAATAGTTAACAATACATTAAAGTAGTTTGACATTATTACCAACTGTGGGCGTGCCCGATTAGGAGAAAAAGCCCCATGAGTTTTCCTCAAAACCATAATAATTAAAATACAAAGTACAACCCGATAGAATCAACTGCGCACCTGTCAGCCGTGACGTCACATCGAACGAGGGGAGGTGTGTGGGTGAGTGCACGGGAAAGTCGCATTCCAGCGAGGTGCGCAGTTGGCTCGGTCGGGTTGTACGTACATTACTAATTTAGCTGCATTTCAAAATTTTGCCACCTTACAAGCTAGATATCTATGTTCGTTTCAGCCAAATGACGTCCACTGCTGGACAAAGGCCTCCCCCAAGGTTTTCCACAATGACCGGTCCTGCGCTGCCCGCATCCAGGCTCTTCCCGCGACCTTTACCAGATCGTCGGTCCACCTAGTAGGAGGCCTGCCCACGCTACGTTTTCCAGCCCGTGGTCGCCACTCGAGAACTTTCCTGCCCCAACGGCCATCGTCTCTACGAGCTATGTGCCCCGCCCACTGCCACTTGATTTTAGCAATTCTGCGAGCNCCACTCGAGAACTTTCCTGCCCCAACGGCCATCGTCTCTACGAGCTATGTGCCCCGCCCACTGCCACTTGATTTTAGCAATTCTGCGAGCTATGTCGGTTACTTTGGTTCTCCTACGGATCTCCTCATTTCTGATTCGATCACGCAGGGAAACTCCGAGCATAGCCCGCTCCATCGCCCTTTGGGTGACCTTGAGCCTTCTTATGAGGCCCATAGTAAGCGACCACGTTTCGGATCCATATGTCAACACTGGCAACACACACTGCTCGAAGACTTTCGTCTTGAGACACTGCGGTATTTCGGACATGAGTATATGGCGAAGCTTCCCGAACGCTGCCCATCCGAGTTGGATTCGACGATTGACCTCTTTCTCGAAGTTGGACCTACCTAACTGGACTGTTTGTCCCAGGTATACATAATTGTCGACAACTTCGAGTGTAGAGTCTCCAACCTTCAGAGGAGTGGGTGCAACACGGACATTAGACATGATTTTTGTCTTGTCCATGTTCATTCTGAGGCCCACTTGTTGAGAGGCTCTACTGAGGCCATCGAGCATTGTGCCTAGATCCTCCAAGGTCTCAGCCATGACATGACTACGATATCGTCCGCGAATCGAAGGTGGGTGATGTACTCGCCGTTGATATTTATGCCAAATCCGTTCCAGTCCAGAAGCTTGAAGACATCTTCCAGGGCGGTGGTAAACAGTTTTGGAGATATGACGTCTCCCTGTCTTACCCCTCGCTGCAACTGGATAGGTTTCGAATCCCGATCCTGGAGGCGGACCGACATTGTGGCGTTTTTGTACAAATCCCTCAACACTTCGATATATCGATAGTCAATTTGACACCTTTGGAGAGACTGTAGCACTGCCCAGGTCTCGACCGAATCGAAGGCTTTCTCATAATAGATATCTATGTATTACTATTAAAATTGATAGCACGTAATATGATTCCGTTCATTCCAAACCATTTTGTGCCATTACATAAAATACAATACATGCAGAAATGTATTCAATTATTCATATTAAAATGTGAACTAAACGTCGCATAAATCATCTTCTGTATCAAATAAAATTAATTTGATAAATTATGTATGAACAATAATGTACTGATTACCTCTAAAAGTTATAATCGTGACAATAACCATCAAAATTCCATTATCAACTTAACGTTTTTCTGTGTAAGTTCTAAAAATCAACTACTAATGTTACAAATTCCCTCTGATCCAGTCGTTGTGTCAGTAAATCAAAACAAAATTATGTTTAAAATGAAAATTCTAAAAGAACCTAGGGATGCATTTGATACTTTATCTCCAATACATAATTTACTAAGAATAGTTTTCCTAACCAGTATTTATCGTAAAAATAAATCTTTGAAGATATCGACATCTTGGTTCAAACAAATACCGATTATTACAGTATTAACTTTATTTTCAATAACAGTTATTATGGTCAAGATAATGAAAACCGAAAATGTGTATGTGAATATAAATTTTTTCACAAAATTCGCCAATTCGACTCGATTCACGTACATTTTGACGCAAACTATACTGTATGTCATTGACTTGACCTACACTTTCAAAGGCGGATGTCCAAGCTTAAACTATTTCAAAATGTATGAAATTATCGATAATGTGCTTGGAAGAACGTACCTCACTATAGTAAAGCAAAAGATATTTATAATAACAGTGACAATTAATTTGTTTTTTTGTTCTTACATCATGGTTGCTTCTTTGAACATGTCTTTTGTATACAACAACATAAGCACTTTATTTGGGATCGTATACATTAGTGAAAAGGTTTTAATGTATATAAACGTTTTGACTGCGATTGAAATATGTGCAAATATAATACAAATTGAGTACAGACTCAGAAGCATAAGAGATTTATTGCAAGATTTTTATTTATCAAAAAATAGTACACCAGGTACGATTGATGTGGTTGGTGAGAAAAATTGGTTGTACTTCTCGAAGGACAAAGATAATGCTAAAAAGAATATGGGGAATTCTTCTTCACGTGTTTTTGGGTTCAATATTTTGAATGATTTAGGTTGGTTGAATAAATGCTATCTGTTGTTGATTCAGCAATGCAATTTTATTAATACGGCGTTTGGTGTAAGAGTGAGTAACATTTTTTTTAATAACTGGAATGCAATTGGTATAATGACAATGCATAAACCCTTTACGCAACGCTACTTGAAGAGTTTTTACAATATTTCTACATGAAAGTCCGTGCATTCTTTCACAGGAAAAAAAATGAAGCACTTTTTGAAATAATTACTAAAAGCTTTAACAATTTTTTTCTACTTATATTAAAAAGGATGAAGCACTGACGAGACGAGTGAAAAATGTGGACCACAAATATGTTTTACACTCTGTCCAATATCTTATCTTGAATTCTTAATGACTCAACTCCTTGTTTTTTTTTTCAGATTTTACTAACTTCAATATATCAATTATGGACATTAGTAAATGTCATTAATATCTTCATTAAAATCATAACTGGAGCACTTGTAAGTACATTTTTGAGTACGTAATTATATTTTTATACTCATAAGTCCCAAATGAAACGAATGTTAAGTAAAAATGGTGGTGTGGCACTTTGTATACTTGTGACGCGAAAAAATAACGCAATTACATCGTGCAAAAGTGTTCTACGTCTATTTTTATAAATAATATATTTTAATTTCAGGATGGTGTCATAAAAACAAAATTTATTACAGCATTACAATGTATTTCGAGGGTATTGATCAGTGCAGTAATGTTGTATAGTTTAGTGCATCGCTGTGAAAAAACTTACGAGCAAAAAGAACAGATAATTCGCATTTTAGACCACATATTAGTCAGTAAAGATATCAGTAAGTGTGGGTACCTAAAGATATTTTATCCTACCTTAGATGGATACCTCAGTTAATTTTACTTTTCGGGTGAATGTTTTTTTTTAATGCAGAACAATTTTATTCAATTTGACTGCAATCACACCTGATGTTAAGTGAGATGCAGGCCATAATATGCTAGTTTAATTTATGAGTGGTTTTTGTAGGGAATTTTTGGGGTCTAGTTGGATGATCGCATAATAATAATACTATCACCATATAAATTGAACCCGCTTTTATTTTACTGGTAATGATAGTAATATTCATAAATTTCAGATACATCAACGAGAAAAACCTTGACTGATTTTCGCAGACTGGTCTGTTTAAAGCCCGTCGAGTTCACATCGGCTCGCATACAAAGGTTGGACTACGGGATACTCATCACATATACTTCTGTTGTGATGACCTTCACTGTACTTTTACTGCAAAATGTTTGAAGTGAATGAAGTTTCCTTTTTAGGGTTCCGTAGCCAAAATGGCAAAAACGGAACCCTTATAGTTTCGTCATGTCCGTCTGTCCGTCTGTCCGTCTGTCCGTCTGTCCGTCTGTCCGTCTGTCCGTCTGTCCGTCTGTCACAGCCGATTTACTCGGAAACTATAAGTACTACAGTGATGAAATTTGATGGGAATATGTGTTGTATGAACCGCTACAAAATTATGACACTAAATAGTAAAAAAAAGAATTGGGGGTGGGGCCCCCCATACATGTAACTGAGGGATGAAAATTTTTTTTCGATGTACATACCCGTGTGGGGTATCAATGGAAAGGTCTTTTAAAATGATATAAAGTTTTCTAAAAAACATTTTTCTTAAAGTGAACGGTTTTTGAGATATCAGCTCTCAAAGTCGTAAAAAGTATGACACTTGCAACAAAATTCTTCTGCTTCTTAGGCCCCTTCCTCTATAACAAAATTAACACAAGAATTCAAATTTACTCTCTGACCACTTCTAGCTGCAAACAAAAAGTCATACAGCACCTTAAAACACTGGATTATGAAGCCACAGAACAACTAATTCGCCCCCTAAGATGATTCCCAAACATCCCGTACTATGTGTATTCGTTTACATGCCTAATTGTCCCTTTAATCTTATTGTTAATAAACACCTTCGCATTCATTCACACACTCACCTTCTTTTGCGCGAACTCTGTTCCGCCTTAAAGGCAATAAATAAGCCATCGCAATTTTTCCTTATTTGCTCTCCGTTTAGACCTACCCTGGACTACGACAAACTTTTTAAAACCAAAATCAGCTCAATCGGCCGAGCCGTTCTCGAGTTTTAATCAGACTAACGAACATCAATTCATTTTTATTTATATAGATAGATAGATAGAAAAACACCTTCGCATTCATTCGCACACTCACCTTCTTCTGTACACACACAACCTATACGCTCACACTCATCATACACACGACACACACATTCACACTTCAGTCTTCTCTGTTAAGCTATTAATATGTAAGTTTAATGCATGCACGTCTATGTTATTACCTTATATAACGCCATTCGTTCCGGGGGTGAGGCCTGGTGACCCGTAGCACAGGTTTCTCTTTTGAAACCTATTTCAGGCACCAGTCCCTCGCACTTTAGATTAAAAATCCTTGGCTTAGTTTCTATTGTATTGTGTACCTAAATTGTGAAGGGTAATAAATATTTTTTGATTTTGATTTTTTTTGATCTCCATTTTACTTATATATTTATTATTAAAATTTATGCACGTAATAATAATATGTAATGATGCCATTTATTCCAAACCATTACATTAAATACATGCAGTAATATATTCCATTATTCAAATTAAAATGTAAACTAAACGTCGCATAAATCATCTTCTGTATCAGATGAAATTAATTTGATAAATGAACGATAATGTACTGATTACCTCTAAAAGCTTTAACAGTGACAATAACCATCAAAAATCCATTATCAACATAACGTTTTTCTGTGTAAGTTCTAGAATCAACTACTAATGTTACAAATTCCCTCTGATCGAGACGAGACGTTGTGTCAGGAAATCAAAACAAAATTATGTTTAAAAGGAAAATTCTAAAAGAACCTAAGGATGCATTTGATACTTTATCTCCAATACATAATTTACTAAGATTAGTCTTTCTAACCAGTGTTCATCGTAAAAATAAATCTTTGAAGATATCATCATCTTGGTTCAAACAAATACCGATTGTTGCAGTATTAACTTTATTTTCAATAACAATGATTATAGTCCAGATAATTATATCCAAAAATCTGGATGGGAATAAAGATTTTTCTAAGAAATTCAGTGATGCAACTCGGTTCACGTACATTTTGATGCAAGCTGTACTGTATATCATCGATTTGATCTACACTTTCAAAGGCGGATGTCCAAGCTTAAACTATTTCAAAATGTATGAAATTATCGATAATGTACTTGAAAGAATATACCTTTATGCCATAAAAGAAAAGATATTTCAAATAACTGTGTACATAAATTTGTTTTTTGGTTTATACACCGTGACTGCTTTAGGGAATGTATATCTTATGTACAAAACCGATATCATAATGTTTACGGCGTACTGTTTTGAAAAAGTTTTACTTTTTATAAACATTTGGACTGTAATTGAAATGTGCGCAAATGTAATACAAATTGAGTACAGACTCAGAAGCATAAGAGATATATTGCAAGATTTTTATTTATCAAAAAATAGCACAACAGGTACGATTGATGTGGTCGGGGAGAAGAACTGGTTGTACTTCTCGAAGGACAAAGAAAATGCTAAAAAGACTATGGAGAATTCTTCACATGTTTTCGTGTTCAATCATTTAATTTTGAATGATTTAGGTTGGTTGAATAAATGCTATCTGTTGTTAATTCAACAAAGCAATTTTATTAACGCAGCATTTGGTGTTAGGGTGAGTAAAACTTTTTTTTTGACGATTGTTATGCACTAATTGGTATAATATAATGACAATGCATAAGCCCTTTGCGCAAGTACAAAGGTTTTACAATATCAAAATGTTTGAAGTAGTTTATGAAATAAAAGATGTAGATTTTTCCTCCATCAAACATTACAAAGTTTTAACTCTATTTCTTTACAAGTTGAAAGTCCGCGGATTCTTTCGCAGAAAATTAAAAGTTTCCGATTTAGTAAATAATTACACTGCGTTNTCGACTTTCCAAAGTGTTGCCAACTACTCGAAAAATGCATTCCAAAATTTCGAAATTTTCAACTTTTTACAAAATGGCCGCCCACGCCGCCGCCATCTTGATTTTTTGACATTTCGGATTTTTCCCATAGTCTGGGTCGTATATCCAACCAAACGTCATTTTTATTTTTTTTCTGCCACAATTCTTTCTGTCTGTCACTAACTTTAAAGTCACCCATGTCGCAAAAAAAACTTTTCCCCATAACTTTCAGTGTTGCCAGACTTTTTTCATAAAAATGGTGAAATGTCATTCGGGTCCCCAAATGTCACCAGACTGCATTCCAAGTTTATGGAATTTTTTGAAATTTCCATTTTCTACTATCCGGGGCCGTGGTGGAAAATTTTCTTCCAAAATGGTAGTTTTTTCCGATTCATGGCAACACTCGAATAACAGACCAACAATCGCCCGGAACATTGTACCCCACTCCGGTGTCGCCATCTGCCGGAAAATTGCTACCAAAGTTTGGGAATTTTTTGATCGCAACAAAATGGCCGACGGCTCAGCCGCCATCTTGTTTTTTGGTAATCTGTGAATGGGGCTCAGAAGCAGACTATACATGTCAAAATTATTCAAAAGAATTTTTCAAAAACAATTGCGCATCTCGGAGTGACACCTCCCTAAAAACACCTCGAAATCGCATTTTCAATCCAAGATGGCGGCTCGGCCATTTTGTTTTTCCATTTTTTTCTCACATTTTTTAACACACCTTGGCAACCCTAATAAACTCAAAAAAAGGAAAAAATTCAGGATGAAAAACAAAAAAGTTGGAGTTTCAAAAAGTGCCGCCATTTTGTTTTTTGGTTCAAAAAATGTAATAAAGCTGGCAGTCGAAAAATCTAGTTTAAAACAAACACCAAAAATTTTACCCCCCTCCCCTCTAAATACCCCAAAAATACCCCTGATCAGTCAGTGAGTCAGTCAGTGGTAATCGAGCTTTATATAATATAGATTATGGACCATAATAAACATCAGTAACCTCTTTTTTAATATCATAATTGGAGCAATTGTAAGTAAATATTCAGTACCTAGTGATATATTGTTATATTGATGACTAGCTTTCCGCCCGCGGCTTCGCCCGCGTGGAATTATGTCTGTCACAGAAAAACTATATTGCGCGCGTCCCTGTTTCCAAAATCGGGGTAAAATGGGGGGGGGGGTCCTTTCCCGGGACTCAAAATATCTCTATGACAAATTTCATCAAAATCGGTTCAGTGGTTTAGGCGTGAAAGCAAGACAGACAGACAGAGTTACTTTCGCATTTGTAATAATAGTATAGATTCCCAAATAAAAAGCGAATGTGAAGTAAAAATGGTTTCAAGCACTTCAAGCCCGACTAAACTATCCGCCGACGAAAAATCAACAGTGTGCGCCTACTCTTAGTGCCTATTCACTCTCGTCTTGAAAACTTATGGAGTGAACAAATCATATTAATTTATTATATCAAAAAATAATATAACGTAGTTTTTTTTTAATTAATTAACTTTTTATTTCCGTTCTCTCGTTATAAACTGCATAGATGGACGCCGTCTATAATAACAATAATTAATTGCGATATATTCAATTTCAGGATGATGTAATAAAAACAAAGTTTCTTACAGCAATACAATGTATTTGGAGGATATTGATCAGTGCAGTAATGTTGTTTAGTTTGGTGTACCGTTGTGAAAAATCTTATGAGCAAAAAGAACAGATAATTCGCATTTTAGACCACATATTGGTGGGCAAAGATATAAGTAAGTCATTTGTACAATCGTTCGTTCGTTTCAGCCAAATGTCGTCCACTGCTGGACAAATGCCTCCCCCAAGGATTTCCATAGCTACCGGTTCTGCACTGCCCGCATCCAGATTCTTCCCGCGAACTACCACACATTAAGGCTATAGATATTTCATTTAAAATCGACTACCTATGGTGAGCTACCACCGTAAATGTTACTTTTAGCGTAAGCGATAATATTTTGTCCAGCAGTGGAAGTGTTTTGGTTATAACTAAAAATATATAAATTGTATGATTCAACATGAAGAGAGCTGGATGATCGCTTAAATATCAAACCGCTTTTGTTTTGGTAATAGTCGATTTTAAACTTTCAGATACATCATCGAGAAAAACCTTGACTGATTTTCGCACACTGGTCTGCTTAAAGCCTATCGAGTTCACAGCGGCTCGCATCCAAAGGCTGGACTACGGTTCACTCATCACCTATGCGTATGTTGTGTTCACTTTCACTGTGCTTTTACTGCAAAATGTTTGAAGTG